ACTCTTCTAAGCCAGTAGGCCATCCCTTAGGCAGGCGCCACAGGCCGCCTTACTGACCCGGAGTGGGGGGTAGGCCCTGGCTCGTCCCTGCCTGTCTCCTCCGCCCTTGTCTTTTCTAGATCTCTGCCGACACGTGGTTCTGCGAGGCTGCAAGCTTGAGGCGGGCGAGCCTTAGCCGTCTTCAGGCGCTGGCCCACGCGTGCCCGGCCCCTTGCCTGTTGGTCTGCACTGAGAGCTACACCTCGAGCTACACCCGGAATTCCTACATTTTGACCTGAGTCGTTACCGCTGAGTCTGACTTGCTCTGCATCCGAGGCCAACTGCTGAACGCCCTTCTCGCTTCTAGAGCTGTGCTTTATGGACCAGCCAGGATGACGGCATCTTCTCACCTTGCTCCCATCCTCAGCACAGTTGTTCTAACAAGGGGGTGCTCATACCTCAGTGTCCAGTCTTGAAACCCTTTCTCCCACGTCCTCTGGGTGCCCCAGTTGGCATAAATGGGAATCTATCAATACTCTGCCCCCAAGCTAAGGTCCTGCTTGGGGAATCTATACAGTTCCTTTTTGAATCTGGGGCTTCTCCCCTTCTTTCCAGTCATCCTGTTTTAAGACCAAAGGGTAACCACTCATGGCCACCTGAGCCGGCCTTCTCCTTTTTATTTTTTATTTTTTTTTCGGCCTTCTCCTCCTGAACTGATGTTGCAGGTGTCCAAACCTCTCTGGAAATCTGGGAGTCAGCTCTTCAGTCTCCATTCCTGTTCTATCTAATCTTGGATGGGTCCTTCTGATTTTTGTTGTCCTTTTGTCCCTACACGTGCCTGAGACGTCTGTTTCCTTGAGATCTTTGCCTGTGGGCATCCAGGCCCATTTCATACAATCTGCTGCCTGACTAACGGATGACAGCTGAACAAAAAGTCCTCTGGACAAAGAAGTTTAGAAAAAGCTCTGCTAAAAATGTTTTTCAGGTTTCCATTTTTGTAGGATTATATCTAAGACTTTAAAATACTGATATGCATCTATAGAGGTGAAAATATACAATTTTTCCAAATATATTTGTTAAAGGACTATTTTTTCCAAGGATTTCTTGAAAACCTAGAACAAAGATTTACAAGAACTTTTTGGCCAATTCAGTGTTTTGGAGAAAAGTGATCAAGGTAGAAAAATTTGTTAGCACTTAGTTAACTCCGTCCAAGGAATAGAGAAGCACTGTATTTTATTTACTGGGAAGTTCTTTTCTGTGATGGAGCAGGGAGAAAGCAGAAAACTAACATTCTTTTATTTATTCAATCATTGTGAGACTATTTATTGAGACTACAACGTGCTAGTCATTATTCTAGATGCTGGAGTGTTAAAGGACAGATAAGATCAGTGCTCTCCCTGCCCTCGGGAATCTTAGAAAAGCTAAAGCTCTGAGTTTGTACATCAAAAGTCTCATTTTTAATTTTATATTAAGTTTGAGTTCTTAAAGCTTTAAGTACATCTCTTTTTGTAATAAACTGGATTCAGGTTTGTCATTCCTTTATAATTAAAGAAAAGTGGCAAAGTACATAAGCAAATATGCATAAGCACATAAGCAAATATGCAGCAGATATACACAGAAATACTTATAAACTGTATACATAGATATGACCAAGATAATTTATCTAACATTAGAAATAAAATGCTATTATTGACACACACAACCATAAATATATATATATATATATACACACATATATATGGATTTCTCAGAGAATTATCCAGAACACTTACATTAAAATAAGCAAGGGTAATTGTGAAAATGCAGATTTGCACTCCAAACATTCTGATTCAGCAGGGCTAAGGAATATGCATGTTAAACTAATGCTACATAACATACTTGTGCACACTAACATTCAAGGATTTCTGATACTGAGACTCCAGGATGGGAGAGAGCTGGAGCTTGTCACCATGTGGCCCTAGATTGGATAGAGAGACTCACGTTGCAGGGGCAAGGTTGGCAGGAAAGAAGGCAGGCACCCAATCTCCCAGTGGGGTTAGGTACAGAAGGTACCTGACCAGTAAGTGTTCCAAGAGTGTTCATTTTCTTTCCTCTGACACACCTCAAATATAACACAATCAACAGCTGAGCATGCCTGGGGGCTTCTTACCGTTCCTCCTCAGTTAGTGTATTTTATTTTGTCTTCACATGACCTCACTTGGGAGGAGATCCCTAGATTTTCTCCTAAGAGATGGGAAATCCTTGCTGTTGTTCAGTCGCTAAGTTGTATCCGACTCTTTGCGACCCCACGGACGGCAGCACGCCAGGCTTCCTTATCCTTCATTGTCTCTTGGAGTTTGCTCAGACTCATGTCCGTTGAGTCAGTGATGCCATCCAACCATCTCATTCTGCCTAGTCTAGTTTACACGTTGATTTTATTAATTGTTTTAACGTTAGTTAGGTACTAATAAAAGTTCAAATACCAGGGTACAGAGGCTTGTGGGATTTGCTTCTCACGTTTCACAAAAAATTTAACAGCCTGATGGTTTCAGATCAAAACTCTAGAAGCCTCCATCACCACATTTCCTGTTTGTAACTGAACAAAGTACACGCAGAAGATTTTAAGAAGAGAGAAAAAACGGAGGTACAGATAAAGTTTACTGACACTTCTCACTTAACAGAGCAGCATTACTTAGAAAAAAAAGCTTGCGGGAGTATTTTTAATTCATACATTTGCCTATGGCTACATAAGGATTTCTCAAAGAAAAAAAGCATGGCAGGTAAGTGGCATTTTAAATTTTGCTCAATTCGTGTGCCTAAGAATTTACATAATAATGTCTAAGCCTCTAGCAAAAAGATACTTAATAAAGGTTTGGAAAGTAATTAAGTTTACACAATTATTTTAAAAGTGTGAGATGAACTTTATAATAATTAGAATGTATTTGAAGTATATTAATGAGCATAAATTGCCTACTTTGTCTTAAAAAGTTGGACCGTATTTTATAATATAAGGCTAATTGTAGCTATTGGTATGTGTTCCTTGATGCATGCTAAGTTGCGTCAGTCGTGTCTGACTCTTTGTGATCCTACAGACTGTAGCCCGCCAGACTCCTTTGTCCGTGGGATTCTCCAGGCAGGAATACTCCAGGCAAGGGTGGGTAGCCATTCCCTTCTCCAGGAAATCTTCCTGACTCGGGGATAGAACCTGGTCTCCTGCATTGTGGGCAGATTCTTTATTGCTGAGCCGCTGGGGAAGCCCCTGTTCCTTGATACTCGTCCCATTCAAAGTACTTGTTCTTTTTAGAGGGTCTTTCCTTGACCTTGCATATTCCTTTCTACAGTTTAATTATAAAGCAAGAGAAGCATCCTGGGGCTGACATTTATGCGCTCTATATCTAAAATGAATAACCAACAAGGACCCGCCGTACAGCACAGGGAACTCTGCTCAGTATTATGTAACAGCCCAATCAGGGAAGGAATTGGAGACAGAACAGAGACACGCATACATATACCTGAATCACCTTGTTGGACACCTGAAACTGTTAATAACATTGTTAAACAACTACACTGCAACATAATATAAAGCAGGTTAGAAGTAACAGCATTCTAATTCCTTACACTTTAGGCATTATATTATCTTCCCAGAAATCCATTCAAACATCAACTTTCAGAAAGATGACAATTTGCAAAGGCCAGTGAAAATACCATCACCTTTGGAATGGACTATAAGGGTTGAACGCACATTTATTAGCTTAATTTCTGCTCGACGTTGACTATCATTCCTCCTTTATTCTTTAATGTACTTTTAATTTCTTTAAATAAATGTTATAAGAGAAAAGTGAAAGTCACTCAGTCCTGTCCAACTCTTTGGGATTCTATGGCATTCTCCAGGCCAGAATACTAGAATGTATAGACTTTCCCTTCGCCAGGGGATCTTCCCAACCCAGGGATTGAACCCAGGTGCCCCACATTGCAGGCAGATTCTTTACCAGCTGAGCACAAGGGAAGCCCCAGAACACTGGATTGGGTAGCCTATCCCTTCTCCAGCCTATCTTCCCGACCCTGGAATCGAACCGGGGTCTCCTGTGTTGCAGGCAAATTCTTTACCAACTGAGCAATCGGGGGAAGCCCCATTATAAGAGAAATATGTGTAATATATAAAGTGGGAGAAGTGTGGAATACAAATGAAAACATTTAGTTCCCATCACTTTAGGAAATATTATGCTGTGTTTCCTTCCAGCTTTTGCTTCTGTGTATTCTGCTTGGTTTGCTTCTCATAACGAAAATAATAATGTTTATAAAATCATATGTGCAGTGTTTTTCACTAACATTATCACCATCTCCATCTTCACAGTAACTTCTGCTTAGTTGTTTTACAAGGACGCACAGTGACATCGATTGAGTTATAGTTTACTTAGCCATTTGTTTATTGTTAGACATTTATGTTGCATCCAGTCTTTTAATATTTTAACTGATAGAGGGATGAACAACTCTGTAGCTTTTTCTATATTAAGGATATTTTCTTAGGAAATATTCCTAGACACAGAATTACTGAATAAGAAGTTATGAACATTTTCAGTATCATTATTGTCAAATTGCTTTTCCAAGGTTGTTGTCAATTCACTCTCACCCTAGAAGTGTTTCTCCTTAACAAGCTGGCCTCATTTTTATAAATCTTTACTAATTTGGTAAGCACAACATGCTAAGCCATTTTTTAATATGTATTACTCTGATTATAATGAAAATGAACATTTTTATATGGGTTTTTAAACTGCTTATAATTCCATCACTTGTGAATTACCTGATTACATCTTTTGCTTTTAATTGTGCTAATAGTATTTTAATATCAATATGTAGGAGCCATTTGCAGAAGATAATAGATATTATAATATCTGTGGATTTGCTTCGCAGTGTTTTGCTTGATGGATTTTAAGATCGAGGGATTGGATTATTGCACAGGGAACGTAAACTGATGTATGATTTTCACAACTCTCTTTATCTTCCCCAGGCACATGTATATAAATTAGCAAAGAACGAAAACAATGGTGCCCCTGTCGCTAGTGCCCTGCAGAAATGAGCACAGCAACGGCATGGCTGACTGCCATGAGCTGACCGCCCTGGGCAGCTTGGCAAGTGGGGAAGGCTCAGGGCGGTGAGGATGACAGTCAGCTGTTCCCATTAATTAACTTTAAATCTGGAAGAGAGGACAACATTTTCTCCTTAGGATTTCCTAGGTTATGTTTAGATTTTTCCAGTGTAATGCAGGAACTCCTCCATTGACAGTTAAGACCTAAAATTCCACAGAAGATAAAATACGTGCAGTATTTGCCATTAAAGCCTCATAGATCTTAAAAGCCAAGAAACAAAACAGAACATGCTTAAGGTGAAAAGAGAGACTCAGAGTATAGCGTTTTTTTAAATTAGATAGGTGAAAGGAGAAAATAAATGTGAACACAATGGAAAAGTGAGATGATTCCTAGTTGAGTAAAAACAATGTATGAAAAGTAAGATCCAAAGTTTTCCTTCTCTCCTACCTAAATGGCTTGTTGGTAAAGAATCTGCCTGCAATGTAGGAGACTCCAGTTCGACTGCTGGGTCTAGAAGATCCCCTGGAGGAGGTCACGGTAACCCTCTGCAGTATCCTTGCCTGGAGAACCCCCAGGGACAGAGCAGCCTAGCGGGCCGCAGCCCCTGAGGTCACAGAGAGCTGGACACGACCGAGCGGCCAAGCACAGCACAGTTCATGCGGCTTGTCCTCCCTGCATCAGTAAATGCGCCAGCATCCAAGATCCTCCCGTGCTTCTGTGTCCACACAGTCAGCATCAGCCGAACCAAACAGCAAGAACGACTCCTTTGGGCTGCTATTAATTTAATTTAAATAATGATTCACTCTAGTTACACATTGCTATTTTTTGAAGGAAAAAAAAAAGATTTTCATTGTCTGTACTCAGTTTCTTTTCCCTGGAGCCTCAGTCATCTTTTGAGAGCAATGAAAGCTTGTCTTTCAGAGACCAGATAGAACTCATTTATGTATCTTTTGAATGCAGATGTTCTCTAAAAGCAGGTCCAACACAATCATTTAATTAGGTAATAATCAACAGTGATCTTAAGAACAGTTAACCCAGCAATGATTGTCACGTAAAGCTCACAACTCTAAGAAATAAACACCTACAAATTGCTAGTTAATAATTAATAATTATTGATCTCTTTTCCAGACATTTTTTTTCCATAAATTTTCTCGGCATTCCTGACTTAAACAGGAAAGAAACAATTAACAGTCCTTCTTAAAACATTAAAGAAATGTAGTGGTTACAGTATTTTGTTGGATGACGTTGCACACACCTATGCCATCTTCAGAGGCTCTTGCCAAGGTGGTTCTCCCACAGGAAAAAGTACATATACAAAATGGAGCAGCGAAAAGTACAGAAAAATACAGATTCATCTACAGCAGGGATTTCGGCAGACTTCAAAATCCCAATAGGTCTTCCCGAGTTTACCAATTCTGAGCTTAATTATGAAAGAAATGACGAATCTAATACTAGAGGAATCATAACATGCTGTCTTAAAATCTACCCTCCGTCTCACTCTGCCATGTACACGTTCTTCAGGTAATCAGTAGGCATTGGTTAAGAGGAATCATGGTGTACTAGAAAGAGGGGACCTTTCTGTCACACAGATGTTCTCTGAACACCAGATTTATAGTTGGCTTAGTATGCCGGTCAGGCTTCCCTTGTGGCGCAGCTGGTAAAGAATCCACCTGCAATGCGGGAGACCTGGATTTGATCCCTGGGTTGGGAAGATTCCCTGGAGAAGGGAATAGCTACCCACTCCAGTATTCTGGCCTGGAGAAGTCCATGGATTGTATAGTCCATGGGATTGCAAAGAGTCGGACACAACTGAGCAATTTTCATTTTCACTTTATGGTGAGGGTCAGTGATCTGCAGAAAGTCACACCTTCTGCCTTTTTCCCTATACACTGTTCCAAAACAGATGCTCCAAAGCTTCATATTGCTAATGTTCCTCTTCCCGTCATGGCCCCTTCCTAACATATATCATCCACTTTTCAAATAACCAATTCTTAATGGACACATTTAAGTTTGGCAGTTTTCAATTTTTGCATTAAAAAGTTTATTTACTTGAAAACCTGGGACTAGATTTGAGAATCTCTTCCAGTGATCCAGTCCATGACTCTAATGCCTTTTATTGGTGGGATAATGCATATGGACAGTAGTGGCAGAGGCTGTGTAGACAGTGGCAGTGTGCAACAAATAGTCATCAATAACGTGCCTAGTTTGCAACCAAATGATCACCACAATCAGAAACGTTCATTTCATGAGGAGAATCCATGGGGACTGTAATATCAGAACTTTTATGTTGAACTATCAGTTCAGTTCAGTCGCTCAGTCATGTCCAACTCTTTGCGACCTCATGAACTGCAGCACGCTAGGCTTCCCTGTCCATCACAAACTCCTGGAGCATGCTCAAACTCATGTCCATTGAGCCGATGATGCAATCCAATCATCTCATCCTCTGTCATCCTCTTCTCTTCCTGCCCTCAATCTTTCCCAGCATCAGGGTCTTTTCCAAGGAGTCAGTTCTTTGCATCAGGTGGCCAAAGTATTAGAGTTTCAGCTTCAGCATCAGTCCTTCCAATGAATATTTTCTTTAGGATGGACTGGTTGGATCTCCTTGCAGTCCAAGAGACTCGCAAGAGTCTTCTCCAACACCACAGTTCAAAAGCATCAGTTCTCTGGCACTCAGCTTTCTTTATAGTTCAACTTTCACATCCATACATGACTACTGGAAAAACCATAGCTTTGATTAGACAGACCTTTGTTGGCAAAGTAACATCTCTGCTTTTTAGTATGCTAAGTTGGTCATAGATTTTCTTCCAAGGAGCAAGCATCTTTTAATTTCATGGCTACCGTCACCATCTGCAGTGATTTTGGAGCCCAAGAAAATAAAGACTCTCACTGTTTCCATTGTTTCCCCATCTATTTGCCATGAAGTGAAAGGACCAGATGCCATGATCTTAGTTTTATGAATGCTGAGTTTTAAGCCAACTTATATTTAAACTACTACTATCAGCCCCTGGTGGGTTTTCCTGCTGGCTCAGCTGGTAAAGAATCTGCCTGCAATGTGGGTACCTGGGTTTGACCCCTGGGTCAGGAAGATCCCCTGGAGAAGGAAGTCACAACCCACTCCAGTATTCTTGCCTGGAGAATTCCATGGACAGAGGAGGCTGGTGGGCTATCGTCCATGGGATCACAGAGAGTCCGACATCAGTGAGAGACTCACACACACACACACACTAGCCCCTGGTGGTTGAAAGCTAGTTAGAAACTTCAGTCACAGTTTACCTACCTGACATCGCCTCACTGATAACGCACCAAAACTTTTAGTTTTTTAACAGTATAGATAGCTAATTTAAAATTGTATAAGAGGACTCTTTAAAAAGCTATATGCAAGTAATTACAATGAATAATGGTACTAAAGATTGCATTTGTCAGGCAAGAAATTTTAGGTACTTTGCACATCCGCTGCTATAAGAAGCACTGTTAGTATTGAATAGATACCCACACGGGTATACTGCATACGGAAAGTAACTCAGTAAGAGGAGGTACAAAGTATGTGTGAGTCTGTATATGTGAACATTTACACAAAACTACCATTCAAGTTTAAAATCTCCACCATTTAGCTATTCAATATCTTCTCATCTCTGTGGTTTTTGTTTTGCTTTTCAAAATAGGGCATTTATTGTTGGCAATCAAAATTTTTGAAAGATATCAAGAGTGTCATGCAATACAAAGCTTCCAAATAAAAACCTTCCTAACTTTAGCCTGTATCACATTACAAAAAAAAAAATATCTTGGGAAATAGAAGGGTTACACAGGATTCATAGACTCCTAAAATCAGGGGAAAACTAGAGACCATGTGAAACAAATCCCGACATATTAGAATTTAACCTGTTTTAAAATGTCTGCAGCTGATCAAAGCAAATTTACTGTTCTAGTCAATGACAAAACCCAGCCCTAAAGGGATGTACAGTGTGGTCCAAGTTCTTTCCTTGGAGTTGCTGATGTATTTCATGAAAATTATTAGTGTTTTCCTAAAGCCGTTAGTGTAAGTGTAAACCTGTGATATTGCTTTGGTTATTTCCTTGCTGCTCAGAGCAGAATTATCTTCTTGTGACAATTAACGGGCTAAGGAAAGTTCATAAGTGAATATATTTTTGTGAATGATAAGAATTTACAGCTAGAATCAGTGTAATTTTAAAATGAAATTAGGATTTTCTGCTTGCTGCTCTGAAGTACACCTTTTCCTACTCTGCTGTGTTTTATTTACACAAAGCACAACTATTTACTGAGTATATACTAAATACTAGATTCTGTGGGAAAGGGAAAGGGAAAAAAGGTAAGTACAAAGGAGACTGATTCTGTTAGTTCTCCAAAGGATGATTTTATTCGTCCTCCCAAGGGTGATAAATTGTAGAGTTATTATACCTTCAGTGTATTTATTTGCTCTCTTACCTTCCCCCAGAAAGAGAAGCACTAGTACATAGAACAGTACATGTAAATAGGACATATAATAGTACACAAACAGCAGGACCAGAGAAATCAGCGCAAAGAGAAAAGGAGCAAGGGGTACAATTAATTCACAAAAGTGAGCAGCATATAATCCTATTGCGTGTCAAATGATACACAAGGTCAGACAGGTGACCACTGACAATATTGACCAGTGACAATATTCACATGGATTATTAGAGTAAACACTTATCCTTTCTCGAGGAGATCCTCAGCTTCTTATACCTTTTGTAACGTGGTCTGAGTTACCAGCAGGAAGACTTTCATTCAGAAGCCTTGTATTTCATTCCATTTTTGATACCAGTGATGTATTAAACAATATCTTCTAGTCCATAGCATCTCTATAATTAATAAATTCAGCAGCAAGTTTCATACAGTTGGTTCTTTTTCTTAAAATAAGTTTTATTTTGTCCTGATAACAAAGGCAGAAGATGTAGAAAATGGAAGAGAATAAAAAGAGCAATAAAGAGTTAATTTTTATTTTCTGACTACAACCTGAAGTTTAGCTCTGTTGCTATTTTACACAGGTCATCACCTGAGATGGAAGCA